TTTAGGCTGCATTAAAAGAAGTCTAGAAGTTTCCAAATCCCGTGAGGTGTTAGTCCCTCTCTATTCAGCACTGGTTTTGGTTTGGCCTCACCTTGAATATTGTGTCCGGTTCTGGACACAACAATTCAAGAAGGAAGCTAACAAATTGGAACAAGTTCAGAGGAGGGAGACAAGGAGGATCAGGAAGAACAAGGCCTATGAGGGGGAAAAATGAAAGAACTGGGCATGTTTCACCTTCAGAAAAGAAGACTGAGGGGAGATAGGAAAGCACTCTTCAAATACTTGAAAGACTGTCATGGAAAGGAGAGGCAGTATCTGTTCTCTATCACGGCAGAGAGCAGGATGTGTAATAATGGGATCAAGGAAAGTCAGAATTAGGCTGACATCAGGAAAAATGTTTTAATTGTTAGCATGACAGTGGAACCAGTTATCTCTGGAGGTGGCGAGTGTTCCAAAGCTGGAGGCATTTAAGAGAAAATTAGACACCTCTCTGTCAGATGTGCTGTGATTTGGAGTCCTGCCTTGAGCAGGGGGGGTTGAAGTCGGCAGCCTTACAATTCCTTTCCAACTCCATTATTCAGTGATTCAGATGCCACGGGTTTGAATCCCCACTCAGCTACGGAAGCTCACCAGGGATGCGAAACTGGTAAAACCACCCCTTAAATTATCTCACTTTCCTTGAAAGCTCTGTTTAGGGATCTCTATAAGTTGGGACTGACTTGTCGGCACATTACATAACACAATTGGTGTACTAAAATGTGTATCTTTTAAAAAATTTAAATAGGGAGGTTTTATTCAAGTCTGTCCTTGTGCTGGCACTGCCTAAGCCCTCTGCTTCCTGCTTCCCAGGTAGAATAGTGGGGCAGGAGGGGAAAACCAAAGGCATGCATAAAGTACAGGCTATGACAATTAACCTTAAGGCTGGAATGGATGTAAAGTGCAAAACAGATCTCATTGTGATTATTTTACATGTATATAAGCTTTACTATAACTAGCACAATCTGTACTTTTTTGCATGTCATTGCATTTTGACCTCTCTGTTCACTATTCTTTCTCAAATTTATGTGTGCGTGTGCATGCATATGCACACATTCATACACACACCCTACCAACTTAACACATAATGTGTTTGGCTAAATCTTACGCCGTAATAAATGGGCTAAGCTTTTAAGGTTGCCAGAAGAATCTTTAATGCTAGTTATTAATGGTGCATAAATGCCATCTGAGCTGGCATTTTCCTTAATACAGTGGCGCCTCGCTTAACGATTACCTCGTTAAACGACGAAACCGCTTGATGATGAAGTTTTTGCAATCGCAAAACAATGTTTAGATTTTTCACTAGACGATTTTTAAACAGCTGATTGGTGGCTCTAAAATGACCGCCCGCTGTGCAAAATGGTTCCCCGCTGTGTTTTAGGATGGATTCCTCGCTTTACAGGCACCGAAAATTGCCGCCCCTATGGAGGATCTTTGCTGGACACTGAGGTATTTAGCCCATTGGTACGCATTGAACCGGTTTCAATGCATTTCATTGGGCTTTTTCATTTCACTTGACGAGGATTTCGCTTAACAGCAATTTCAACGGAATGAATTGTCCTCGTCAAGCGAGGCACCACTGTACATGCCACTATGCCCAACCAGGGTCTGGAAACTGCAGTTTGGTAAAATTGGGAAAAAGTTACTTTCTAGGGGTACTGCAGTTCATAGAATCACCCATCCAGCTGTGTCAGTGGCCAGGTGTTTCTTACCAACTGGCTCTTGTATTTTAGAAACTATAATCCAGACTGATTTTTGAACGGTGTCTGGGTTACTTTTTACTGGATTATTTTAAACTGTTTCCCTTTAACTGCGATTAAAGTGACTTCAAGAATAGCAGGGAGGGGGGGGAACCCATCTGGGAAGAGGATGGTTCCCCACTTCTACTTTGGAAGATGATCTCTTGGTTGAAGGTTATAACTAGCTGTTGCCGCTGTTTCTTGTATGATGCTTTTTAAGAATCTTAGTGATGAAGGAAGGCTTGGGAATGTCTTGCCTCATCACCGGAAATGAATGTGGATGTCTGGGTGTATTTAAAAACAACAACAATGATAACCGATAACCCCAAATCTGGAACGTTAAGCACAGGGTACCGTTTTTGCTGCCGTTGCAGAACTGTCTGTCTGCTCCTTTATTAGAGGATTGATACCTCCTCGGTGGCGCAGCAGAAGTGTCCCTGTTGTGCATCCCCTCCAACTGTGCCTCAGAGTAGAACGAATGGGAAGATGTCCTCAAAGGACTTAGGCTGACAGGCAGATTCGTAAATGGAAGGGGTAGTCCCTTCTGTACTGATGTCATGAGCCATCCTCCTCCTCCTCATTCCTCTCCCGTCAAAGCCTGGGCATCCTTATAACTAGTCTGATTTTTTTTTTCCGTGTGGCAGCCTTAAACATGTTGTGTTGTGTCCAAACCAGCATCTAATTTTTCCCTCCAGCTGACCAGTTGCATGCATTCCTAGATTTCTTTTCTCAGTTGTATTATCTCAGTCAGCTGTAATGGTCTGCATTGTTTGCTTCTCATTATGTGACCAAAGTATTCTGACTTTTCCTATTTTACGTGTTCTGTGATTTCTTGGTCTTTATTAATATGCCTTAGAGCAGTGGTCCTCAACCTTGGACCTCCAGATGTTCTTGGACTTCAACTCCCAGAAATCCTGGCCAGCAGAGGTGGTGGTGAAGGCTTCTGGGTGTTGTAGTCCAAGAACATCTGGAGGCCCAAGGCTGGGGACTGCTGGCTTAAAGGGTCTTCTTGGGTCACTTATAATAAACCTTTCTGCCAGATGCTTCTTCTTCTTTTAATAGCAGCTTATATTTAAGTCTGTGCTTCCATGCCATAGAGTAGAACGGAGGCTACTAATAGTGTGCGGTGTATATTCTCGGAGCCAATATTTACGTTTTGAGGCATTTTATGCTCTTCCTCTTAAAGAAGCTGCTTCAGACGGTCTCTATTCTGACTTTTACCACTTAAATGTGATTCCTAAGCCATCCGTTGTCCTTCTTCTGAAGGTCGGATTTTGAGTGCTGTTGTAAAAGTAAAGCTTGGGCATAATGAGTTACGAGTAACCTATAATCAGTTACTTTTGGGGTAAAAAGGATGAGTGAAGCTAGATTTGAAAAGTAATGTACTGAAGGACGTTGAAGGTATCTTTGTGGTGTAATGGACAATTGTTTTCTTTCTAGCTGCTTTCAAATGTTAACTTTTTTTAAGGACCTATTTTTCAAACATTCCGAGAAGAATTTTTCCAGTTCTGTACAGCACTAAGTCCTAAATTCTTGATCCCCAAAAGTTAGAACAAAAGCAGTGCTCTGCATGGGTTTTCCCTAGAGTTTAAGAAACCATCTTTTTGGACTTTCAGTTCGCAATAACTTTGGGTGCGTGAACTGGGGAGTTGTGGTGCAAAAACACCGTTTTCCAAAGCTCTGAGATTATTTCCATGGAGGGAAAGAGATTCACTCTCAACTCTCGTCCTTCCTGACACATGTGACGCTGGGTGGCCAGCCTCCCAGTCTCCGCTTCCAACCATGAAATCTGAAGGACTGGGATTCTGCCCGGCTGATCTTCAAACCCTTCCCTCCTCTGTGGAATACAGTGGTGCCTCACTAGACGATGATAATCCGTTCCACTGAAATCGCTGGCGTGGAAACGGGGTTATGGATGCTTGCTGGAGCAGCTTTTGGGCGACTGGCCCTACTATTTAGGCAGGGTGGGGCAGTCACATCAGGAAACAGGTTTAGAGCAGAACTTGAAAAATACTTTTTAAAGTACAGTGGTGCCTCGCTAGACGATGATAATCAATTCCTCTGAAATCGCTGTTTAGCGAAATCATTGTCTAGGGAAAAGCATTTCCGCATTGGAATGCATTGAAACCTGTTTAATGCGTTCCAATGGGGAAGAATCGTCGTTGTCTAGCAAAGATCGGCCATAGGAAAGCCACTTTGCAAACCGCCGATCAGCTGTTTAAATCGCTGTCTTGCGAAGCTTAGGTCCCGAAAACACCCGTTTTGTGAGCGCGGAGGGAGCTGTCAAAACCGTGGTCTAGCGAAAATCGGTTTGCGAAGCAGGGACCAAACATTGTCCAGCGAAATTCCCCCATAGGAATCACTGTTTTGCGAATCGCTATAGCAATCGCAAAAAGCAAATGTCTAGCAAAAAAACTGTCATGCGGGGTAACTGTCTAGCGAGGCGCCACTGTACCTGAAGGAAACCAGTGTGGCACCATCCTGAGACATATTTCGAGGACTGCCATTCCCAGCCGGTGCCCAATCTTTAATTTGTTGCTCATCTTATCTTTTATTTACAGCTAGCTTTCAAACATCTCAACCTCTTTTTACCACTGAAATCAGCTGTTCTATCGTTTTCACTGTTGTTTCACCACCCGGGGGGTTGTTCTTTTTAGAATAATTGCAAACGACCCCAAAGGGCATCTGCCCGTTGAGTGACGGACCTATCAGTTTTATTAATAAATAAATATGATAGTGGTGTGAGAGATTGCGAGTGTGACCAGACTCTCTGCGGGATTGTGGGCAGCCTGTAGCAGAGCCCTGTGTCTTTAAGGCAGCCGTTTGATGGAGCTTTGAACCGTCTTAGCTCCATCCGAGCACATTCTGGGGGTCTCTAATTTGACAAGGGACTCCGAGCTCTCTGCCAGAAAGCTCTCATGCTCTCTTCTGAACTGCAGGAGAGAATTCTATGCACTTCAATCCCTAACTACAAATCCCCAGATTCCTTATGATGGAGTCGTGACATTTAAAGTACTGTCGAATTGATATAACTGTACAGTCTAGACGCTGTAATAATTTGGAAGAAATTCTTCCTTTGCAGGTGGCTGGTTAAGTCACGGACGCCTAGGGACCGGCCCTTCCCTGGGCTTTGCATTTGATGGGGGGGGGAATATGCTTTACTAAGGGGGCGCAGTTGCTTTCCTCTGGCCTTTCTGCCCTAATGCTATGGTTCTGCTTCTCTAGGAGGGTCCCTACCGTACTCGGAAGGGGGGGCAGGGAGAGGAGCCGGTGAGGTGCACCAGACATCGAAAGGTCAGTGTCAATCCCTCGTTTCCCTCTTCCTCTTTTTGCCTGCCTCCGGTTCATGTGAGATGCAAGGCCAGGGTGCCTGCCGCGGAAGGGCGAGCTGCAGATCGGGCGAAATAAGGAGCTTTTCATACCCCTTAGGGTAAGGTGGGTGGGTTGTGTATTCAGGGTCCTGTGCTCGGTTGCTTTCCAAGGGTGACACGGACATAACCAGAGTACGCAGTAGAAGAGTAGTTTTTTGTGTGTGTGCTTGTTTTCTCATAAGCCTTTGTGTGCTGAAGATGCCACTGTGGATGTTGCCCAGATATGAACAGCCTGGTGGGAGTCAAAAGTCCTGCTTGGAAATCTCCCAAGTTTTCTTTTTCGGTATCCGGTCTACGTGTCGTAGCCAAGCTCTGGGAGCAGGAAAGCAGGCACACTTTCTGTTGTCAACCAGTGTGGTTTGCCGAGGTCTTTCTGGATGAAAAGGCTTTTCCTTGCCCGGTGATGGAAGGACAACAGGGTGGGCTCCCCTAGCTTAAGATGGCCCCGTGTCCCCTTTTGAAGGTGTTCTCCATTTTGAGAACAGTCTGTGTCAGATTTGAAGGTTTTTTTTAAAAAAAAACTCAACCGAGGAGAATCAGGGATCCTTTGTTACTCCTGCACAATTGCCAGCAGACGGACAACAGACTTTGTGAGCACCTCCTGCCTCGCGGGGACATGCTGTGGCTAGGATCTTCGTGGCTACGGCCGCAGTGTCAGTCAGCTGATGTCAATCTTTTTTTATAAACATTTTATTAGTTTTTCAATCTATCTACATTGGTTTGTGCTTGTCAAACATCGTGTTACATATTTTGCTTACAATTATTTGTTTTTTACATCTCAGTGTCTTTCCAGTTATCCCCCAAATTCCAAAAATCTTTCAAACATTCAAACCATTCATGTACATACAGGTATTTTGATATATAATATGGCTACTATCATAACACTGCTTTCATAATATACAATATTCTCAGTCTTCTAATAGCATTCTTATTAAAGGTAGTTCCAGATCCATACTCCAGCTTTATATCTAGTTTAGTTTACTTAAAATGATAAAACAACGATATTACAGAAGAAGAAGAAGCTGATGTCAATCTTGAAGGTGCATTACCGCAAATTAAGAAATCGGTGTTGGCATTTGTGGTGCACACTGCTTGTTGGTGGAAAGTGCAACAATCAAGACCCATTAAGAATACAAAAGATGTGCTCCTGATTTGTCGAGATGGGTTGACCCAGCTGTCTCCATTTCTGGTCTCTCTCTGAGGCTGGCTATGGGGAGGTTTGTCAGGAGCGCCTGAACGTCTAGATTTAGCACGGCAGCATTTTTTTCTGTTGTGTGTGTGAGTGCACACCCCTTGCTGTAACTGTGTCCAGCTTGAAGGTGAGGGTGAGAGACGTGGTTTGCGCCTTGTGTTCACGTACAGCCACGTCGCCTCTTGCTGCCAGCCTCAGCCGCAGACCGATGCCCACCCGCTTCCCTTCCAGCTGCATGAAGTGTGAAAAATCCCAGCCTTAATATTTAATTACATTGTGAGCAATTAATGTGCGCTGTCCAGGGAAGGTGGGGGAAAGGCTCAAAGGGATAGTTAACATTAATGATGCATTCGATACAAATAAGATGCCATTAATGTACAAATGGCCGTGATTGATTCAGAAGAAGATGATCTGAGAAGGAGAACAAGGCAGATGGTTTCCCCAGCACGACCCAAGTCCATAGCGTGCCAGCCCGAACGCTGGTGGGTGGTGGGAAATGTCCCGTTGGTATAAGGACCGAATTCGAATTCTCAGTCCTTCCTAGAGTAGAATCATAGAAGCATGGGGTTGGAAAGGGGTCATAAGAGTCCAACGGCCTGCTCAAGGCAGGAATCCAAAGCAAAGAAGATCTGACCGAGAGCGGTCCCATTTTCTCCCGAATGCCTCCAGCATTGGAGTGCTCACCGCCTCCCGAGATAATTGGTTCTGTTGTCATACTGTTCTAACAGTTAAGAAGTTTTTACATTCCCATGATTTGGCGTGAGGGGTTCCTACCAATTTGTGGGTGTGAATTAGATACAAAAGTAACATTCCCAGGTGCCCCACAATTCTCTGTGCTGTTGTTTTGCAGTAACAGACAAATTGTGGCGATTTGTGGCCACTTATGAATTATTGTGTGGGACGTGGTGGCGCTGTGGGTTAAACTGCAGAAGCCTCTGGGCTGCAAGGTCAGAAGACCAGCAGTCGTAAGATCGAATCCACGCGACGGAGGGAGCTCCCGTCGCTCGTCCCAGCTCCTACCAACCTAGCCATTCGAAACCATGTCAAAATGCGAGTAGATAAATAGGGACCACCTCGGTGGGAAGGTCATGGCGTTCCGTGTCTAGTCGCACTGGCCACGTGACCACGGAAGATTGTCTTTAGACAAACACTGGCTCTATGGCTTGGAGACAGGGATGAGCACTGCGCCCTAGAGTCGGACACGACTGGACTAAATATCAAGGGGAACCTTTACCTTTATCTATGAATTATTGTTGTTGTCAATAATTAAAAAAACAGTTTGGTGGTCATTGGGGTAGGAGGAGTATATTTGGCCACTCAACCTCAGTCAGCAAAATGTCTTGGTCTGATCCTCTGAAATACATTAATGTAGAATTACAGAACTGTAAATCATTGATTGACAATGCCAGAACTAAACGGAGTTCACAGCATTTCCACATAAAATTCCATCTCTGATTAGCCCACACTTCCTTTATTTAGCTGTATAATCCGTGGGGTGGTTGAGGGTGAATGACTATTGTGTGAAAATTAGGAGCAGAAAAATCCCTCAAGTGCTGTTTCCCATATTTAACACTAAAAACAAAGATATTAAATAATGAACAGTTTGCGGTTGTTGCTGTTTTTTCCCCCCTGAGACTCAAAACCAGAATGTAGATACCTGGAATTACTCACTTTTTGGGATAATGAAGCTGTAGGGAAGTTACATGTATGGTGTTTTTCTTATTAGTTTCAGATTTTACTTTTGTAGGCCATTTAAAGGAACATTTCAGATTTTATGCCATTCTCTTGACAATCCTATTATGATTTATTTTAAGTAACAAGAAAAGAGTGAAAACCTGGACACATAACTTATCAGGTTACCTGCCCAACACTGGGACAGACAATGAAAACAGTTTACTTTTGAAAATGCATAATGGGTCACAGAATGAAGAAAAGAGTGAAAACCTGGACACATAACAGTGTTGGGCAGATTACACTGGGACAGACAATGAAAACGGTTTACTTTTGAAACTGCATAATGGGTAACAGAATGAACTACAGTGGTACCTCGCTAGACAGTTACCCCGCATGACAGTTTTTTTCGCTAGACATTGAGTTTTTGTAATCGCTATAGCAGTTTGCAAAACAGTGGTTCCTATGGGGGAATTTCGCTGGACAGTGTTTGGTCCCTGCTTCGTAAACCGATTTTCGCTAGATGACGATTTGGACAGCTCCCTCCGCGCTCGCAAAACGGGTGTTTTCGGGACCTAAGCTTCGCAAGACAGCGATTTAAACAGCTGATTGGCGGTTCGCGAAGCGGCTTTCCTATGGCCGATCTTCGCTAGACAACGACGATTCTTCCCCATTGGAAGGCATTAAACAGGTTTCAGTGCAGTCCAATGGGGAAATGCTTTTCGCTAGACAATGATTTCACTCAACAGCGATTTCAGAGGAATGGATTATCATCGTCTAGCGAGGCACCACTGTACTTTTGAAACTGCATAATGGGTAACGGAATGAACATCGTCTAGCGAGGCACCACTGTACTATACTAAAAGTACTTTTCAAGTTCTGCTCCAAATCTGTTTTCTGACGTGATTGCCCCACCCTGCCTAAATAGTGGGGCCAGTCACCCAAAAGCCGCCCCACCCTGCCTAAATAGTAGGGCCAGTTGCTCAAAAGCTGCTCCCACAAGCATCCATAACCCCGTTTCCACGCCTGCAGCCTTCCTGAATGCAGAGATGCTCAGCTGCCTGAAGCAGGGTAATGGAGGGGGTTCAGCCTTTTCCCCCATTGCAGGCAATCCAGAGCTGAGGTCCAGTCACTGGGAAGCGTGGCCCGTTTTCCTACGAGGGGAAGAAAGATGGAAGAAAATGCTCCCACTTTTCTTACTCAGTAGCACAACCTGCACCCTGGGTCAAGGATGGGAGGGGACGAAGCCTTGAACTTGACTTACTCACAGCAGGGATTAGCTGTAGGGGACAAAGACACGCCAGGATCCCTCAAACATTGCTGCACACTCTGTGCCGAGAGAACCAGGAGCTTTGTGACCTGAATTAATTCATGCGCATAAGGTGCATCAGCCACCATGGGCAGGAAATCCTGGGGGAAGGAGGCGGTGCTGTGGCAAGGTGAAAACGGGGATCTCCACACCCCTCCCAGTCCCTATGCTCAGTTTGAAATCACGGGCCACGGAAGACCTGCGTTTTTCCTTTGGATTTTTTTTTTTGCAGCAAGAAATCCGAAGGGAAAACCCAGCTGGACTTCCGGGGGGGTGGAGAACCCCATCGCTACAAAATCATACACTGAAAGGCTCAAGATGCTGGGTCTAACACGCTTCTCAAGATGTGGTTTTAAGTGCCTGGGTTTAGCTGGACTTTTGAAGGGGGCAGAACTCCATCGGTGTGAGGTCACGCACCAAGATAGTGTGGCACAGAGACTAGATTAATAGCCTGGGGCCTGGGGATGCAGTTCATTTTTTAAAAAACTCCCCATGGATCACAGCCGTGAGCCAGTCCCTTTTTCAGACTGACCTCTGTTACAGGGTTGTTCGGAGAATGAAATGGGGAAATAAAAAGCCATATATGCTGCCAAGAGATTTTAAAGGCAAGAAGCTGCCGGCCGCACATTCAAATACAGTGGTGCCTCGCTAGACGATGATAATCTGTTCCACTGAAATCACTGTTTAGCGAAAAGCATTTCCCCACTGGAATGCATTGAAACCTGTTTAATGCCTTCCAATGGGGAAGAAT